TCAACATAATGTACAAATGACAGGACCAATTCAGGATCACCTAAACGACTCGTCATCCAAGCTCCCTCGGCAATGCTCCAAGCATGCCACCATCCTCTAGCCCTATTCATTTTCATCAATGAAGACAACAAGCTAGAAGGGACAACAAGCCAACTCCTCGTTTGTACTATAATTCCCATTAAAGAATTGCAATGTACCTTCCTCTTTATCATGCTGCACTCTACCTACACCTAAAGCACACACAAAACACACTACACAAATATTAAGCATGAGTTTTGGCTATATTCATACAAAGTTGAAACGATAATAAGCTAGGACATTTATTTGGTTATGAGGGAGGCTGGAATTGATTCTAGGTGTGAGGAGTACTTTTGAGGATAAATATGAGTGGAAGTAGGGTTTTTGAATTGAGTGAAACAATAGAGAATGAACCGAGGCATCATAGCGAGGAACAAGTGACAATAGGAAGAAACAATTAAGAGGAACGAAAAGAGAGATTGAGAGAAAGAATTGAGAAGAATAGGTAGGGACAATAGAGAGGAACCGTAGGGATCTCGGGGAACTAAAAGAGGGGAAAAGAGGCTTACAAGTAAGGATAGTAAAAGTAAAAGAAGTAAGAGTAGAAGTGCAAACATATTCCAATCTTCCTTCCGGGATTATGTCACGAGAACACCCTCTCGCCCACCGAAGTTGCGGTTGCCACTCGTCATTGGCCACCCTTAACCCGAGCTTCTTTAATCAAACACCCGTGTATGATTCTCCCTTTGATTTGTAGCTGTAATTGCATCAATGTAGCATTGGCATTTCCAAGACAAACGATGGTAGTGATATTCATCATTGCTATCACATAGAAACCCCTATACCCTTCTTAATTTTTCTCATTTGTTGCATTTGATTTTATCGAAATGAGTGTTTTTGATGGCTTACGAGGGTTAGATTTTAGGGCTACTCGATTGATTATTATTTTAGACTTAGGATTTATGGCTGAATCGAGATAAGGGATGTGACTTAAGACTCGGGTTGAGGTAGAGACAAAACCTAGGGTTTGGGGTCTATGAGATGAAGAAGAGAAGTTAGATTAGGGATTGGATTTTCAAAGAGAAGAAGAGATTGATTCAGCAAGAGGGAGAAGAAGAACTAGTTTGAAGTAGAAAACAAACTTAGGTAGTGTTTGATAAAGCCGAAAATTAAGTGCCGAATCTATTACGTACTAAATTTTAAATGCCGAATCCGTTAAGTATCGAATATGTTCCTAATAAGTTGTTTAGTATTTACTGAAAATTAAGTGTTGAATATAATAAGCATGCTTAATAAGTACCGTTATCGAACATATTAAGGCTATGTATATGACAATTTTAACCTTATAATTGTAGCATGATATTTTTTAACACAAATAAAAATATATACATAAATGTGTTTGTGTGTAGAAATAAATAAATAAAAATTCAATAAAAATGATTAGTAATAAAAAATTAAATACGGTCTAAAATAACATTAATTGTCGTATCATTCATAAAATAAATAAAATCTCAAGTATTAATTAATTCATTTGCAATTTGATCTCGTAAATTAATCATAAATGTTTGATCGACTCGTGCTCGGGCCCCTCCTTCGATGAATGGTAAATTTACGATAAAATTTGATGTTTGATGCATCACATAATCGCTATCAAATTGTTCAAAAAAGCTATCAAGTAATAATCGTTAGTTGAAGATAATTATGTATTACAACACATGCAACAACAATATCTCTTTGAACTACAAATGGATATGGGGCCATTGTCTTTAGAATTGGAAACCTTGCTTTTAGATTATCAAATGCTCGTTCAATAACATTCCTCAATTTTACATGTGCATGATTAAACGCTTCTTGTTTTGATCTTGGATGACGACCATTGCAAAAATCGAATAACCAATATCGTGTATTATGATATGGTGCCATAAATCCTCTAGTATGCACATATGCAGCATTACAAAGATAATATTTATTTGCCATCAAATATCAATATGATAAATTGCATGAAAAATGTAAAAATTTTTGACATAATACACCTAATAAAGGAAAAAAAAATTGAGGGGAATTTTTTTATAAAAAAGAACTTAAGAAGAATGAAACAACCTACCGGGTGGAGGGATGGGAAAATTATTTGATGAGTCATCCATAGTTTCGTTAACACTCTTGAATCATGTACTACACCTTCCCATCTAGCCCAAACAAAAGTAAAAATCATATCAAAATCATATATTACAAGGACATTTTGATAGCAATCTCTTTGTCCTCTCCCTCTATGTGGGACTTGTTGGTCGGGTGATATAACAGCAAGTAATTAAAGTCCCATCAAGGGCACCTACAACACCCTATAAATAAATAAATAAATTTAGTTAATTTTAAAATACACAAACCAATAAAATTAGAAATAAAAAGTTAAATGTATAACCCGAAATACTTGATGAAGTTGACGATGATGTTGAACTTGACTTAAATCCGGGTAAAATGAAGTAGGTACAACCATTTCTTTTGCAAACTTTAGCATTGCTTGCAGCACTTCATGGAAATAGTGATGCACTCGTTTGAGTTGAATGATTAAATCTTCGAGCACGATTTTGAAAATTTTGACTTAAAGTTATAAAAAACATTGCCATTTTTTCTTCAACCTTAATATAATGACTATCTCTCAACCATCCTTTTTGTTTGAAATAATCACATAAATTTAAGAATGCTTCTTTTTTCATTCTCAACATTTCTTGACGAGTGAGTTGGATTTCCATTGAGGATCTCTAGCATATATGCATGTCCTTCAAGAGCCGAATCCGTATCCGGTCTTCTTCTAACACATCTTTTATTAATCCTTTTCAGTATAAGAAGCAACAAAATAATCCTTAAACTCTTTTTTTTTTTTTTGCCTATTTGTCAACATACTCGTTAATTAAAAAAAACAAGCAAAAGCATGTATCAAAAAAATGACGAGAAGCATAATTAAAGGAAAGATATTCAAATTGAAGTACTTTTATTTAAACAATAATTCTTATGAAAACACTAGACAATCACAATGAAACCAATTATTCTCAAACACTAAATACAAATCATAAGGAAAAATATTCAATTAAAACAATGTCAACTTTTTAGTAACTATTTTGATCCATCTAATTCTAACTTCCTCTAGCTTTTGAGAAAGATTTATCCATTGCTCTCGATATGCTTTGCTTTCACAAAAGATAGCACGTGCATCTATATATAAAGGGTCATCCATTCTTAAAGTCTCCATCTCATCTAACTTCTTATTGCACTCGTTCTATACTTGGGTCCTTCGATTCTTCCAATGTCTTTAGTATCGCCACCAAATGATCATCAATGTCATCATCCTTATTCTTCTTTCGACGTTTTTTCGTGTTTTTTTATTTCTTCATTTGGAGTTGAAAATGGAGTTGGAGAATTAGATCCCAAATCAATAAATTCTTCAAAATTTGTTCCAATTGGTTCAGTTGGCATAGAAGAAGCAACTCCATTTATAGGCATTGTGTCTTTAGAAGGACCCTAACTATGTTTTTCAATGGCTGAAATTCCATCAAATAATGATTTCATCTCATCCGAAAATTGCACACTAACATAACGAAATTGTTTTGCGTCATTATTATTCCGTTACATAAATATATCAAATCAATAAATTATTAATTGCTTTAAGCTCTACTAAGGAATGAAATGTATAAAAGAAATAATACCTGTTCATAATCGTCCCACTCTTGTGCGATCCGATTGACGAGTATTAGTCACTAGATCATAACCATGCCCATTTTTTTCTATTAGTTTTGACCATACTATGTACTTCTTTTTCAAATACATCCACTCATTCTTCAGCTTTTTTTTAGAAAACTTAATGCCTTTCTTTTCCTCAAATGCTTTTACTATATTTTCCCATGATTGTTTTTTTAAGCTCCCTCCATTTTTCTAAGAATACTCACTTGATCAATGCATATATCCAAAAAAAATTTCACTAATTTGGGGTCCTTCCAATTGGCTCTTGCACCATCTTCGAGAGGCCATTCCTACATATTATAAAATGATTATACCATAAGCCATATTACTATAATTTTAAAACTAAAATTTAAATCATAAAAATCACCATAACATGTTTAAAAAAATAACCAAATTAAAGTCCTAACAATATAAACCAAGTAGAATGCCCAACACGTGTATCATTTTTTAAACCACTCGTAACATTTTTTACCCAACACGTATACCCGACCCAACATACCACAAACCACTAGAACACCGAGTTCATTTCCTACATTTCTCTAGAGACTCCCTTTTTCATCCCCATTTCGCCATAGCTCCGGCAACACAAACCACTATAACATTCATATTTTCTTCAATTTGGACAAAGAACGGTGACTTCGAAGGAAGCGAAGGTCATTCCTCCTACACTCGCCATAGTGCCACAATCCCACTATCGATTGACACTAGGTAATCTTCTTATTCTCCTTTTCCATTTTACTATAAATTACCAATCCCCCGCCTCTTGTTCACTTAAGATCCAACGATGGCAATGGCTAGCCACTAACATCACACAACATGCAACCTCAACCCTTTTCATGTTTTAGGAGGATCGATCGAAGGATAAAGAAAGCAAAGATTTTTGGGTAAATTAGAAAGAGAGATAAGGCAAACGAGACCGAGTGGGAGAGAGAGAGGAGATTGAGTTTGTCTAGGCATTCGATTCCGATGAGAAAAAGAGGAAACTCGTATTGCTAGAGTTCTAATATTGATGCTATTTCTATTATTTGTTAAGATGGGGTTTGATCTGTTACAAGCCTAAGAGTATTGAGGTCTAGATAGCTTGAAGATGAGCATATATGATGTGGGTCTCTTAATTCAATTTTTTGCTAAATTTCTTCCCTTGAATATCTTAATTTCTAAAATTTTTTGTTAAGAGTTTTGTTCTTTATTGTCGAAATTCATCTAATGTGAAAGAGTATCTTAACTCTTATGCGTTCATCATTGATATGCTAGGATTAAAGTCGGGGGACATCAAGGTTCAAGTGGAGGATGACAATGTGCTCGGTTATTAGTGGAGAGAGAAATCATGGGGAGGAGAAAGAAGAATCGTAACATGTGCGAATGGAAAGGAGGGTTGGTAAGTTTATGAGGAAATTTGTGTTGCTAGAGAATGCTAATGTTTATGCTATTTATACTATTTGTCAAGATGGGGTTAAGGTAACAAAAGTGATGGGTCTAGCTAATATAACGATGGGAGTAAAAATGTTACAAGGAAAATTTCTCTATTGGATGGAGTAGCAAGCAAAACTAATATTATTGGTGGTGGAAATTGGAGTAATGGTGGCAGAGGTAACAATGGTGGTTAGACTGGAACCAATGGTAGTGGAAGTGCTAACAATGGTCATTGGCGCAACAATGAGGGGTGTGGAAGAGAAAGGAAAGGTGATTAGAGTGGTCGGGAAGTTGGGAGGGAATGGATCATTAGTGTAGCAAGTAATGGGCATGGATGAGGGCATGGGAACGAGAGGTGGCTTAGGTAATGGAAGGGGTGATAACAACCGCCATAGAGGCTACTCAAAAACAATACCTCTTACCGGCATGATAATGGGATGGCCACCGTTAATAATAGTGGTGGAAATTTGGGTTCCGGCTCATCATGAAAATGTCTCCATGGTTAAGGCTAGCACAACCTTAAAAATTTGATAGAAATTTGATGTAAATTTTCCCGTACCGAGCTTAAATGGAAGTCTAACAAAGTCACAACCAAGAAATAGTAGCGAGAGAGAAACACTAGAATAGAAATTTTTATACAATCAATGCCCATAAATAATGATCATAAGTAGGACGTTGCCACCCAACATTAAAATTTATAGATTTAAAACTAGGAGTTTAGCTATCAAAATAACAATAGATCAAATAAATATTTCATAATCCGATAAAAAGAGGATGTTATGTATCTAAATTAGAATCGTTAACCAAAACCTAGAAATTAAAACAGATCAATCTATATAAAAAAATCAGTTTCTTTGTAAAAAAATATGCAAAAGAAAAAACAATCAAGATATTAACGGATATAAAGAAAAATCATCTATAATGGAATGAAAGAAAAATTACCTACGATAAGATTAGACCTTGGCGTCTCGCATTCCTAGTAGTTTATTGATGTTGATGGGATGAAAACACTCGTAATGGAGGAAGTATTTTTTGTTTGGCAATAAGAATTGTAGAGATTGTTTTTCGATTGGTTTGTATAGCTAAATTTATAAAAATATATAAGGGTTATATAGTCATATTTGAAAAGTTTTAAAAATCTTTCAACCGAGCGTGTTAATAAAAAAGTAATAATTTAAAATTTTTAACTTATCCGATTAAGTAGATTTTGACTGAACTTAAAATTTTAATATGAGATCATTTAAGTTATCAAACAAGCTTTTTATATTTAGTAGCTTAACTTAATTTTTTAAGCTACTTAATTAGGTTATCAAACACCCCTTTAGGGTTTATGAGTTTGAGATAGAAGATAGGAAATTGCGCTATCTTTTTAGGTGATGAGATTAAAAATGAAAAGATCATTCGATCTTATTAAGGATTCTAGAAAACTAGGTTGAAGGAGAGGCGGAGAATATAAAAGACAAATGAGCTAGGAATTTGATTTTGAGAGGAACTGTTAGCTTGGCTTTTAGGCTTAAAAGAGAAGAGTGGAGATCGGGCTATTTGTGCTTGAGTGAGGATTTAGGGAGAAAGAATGGAGAGGAAGTTGGGTTGCATAAAAGATTAGGGTTGAAGGAGGAGAAGACGACTAATTTAAGAGGTTTTGATCTTTTCGATTTGGAAATGGATTGGAAAATTGTTAGGGGTCGGTGTTAGTCCGGTCGAAACGAAATAAAAAGGCATGAAGGATTGAATGGGCTAAGCTTTGACCCAACCTAAGTGACCATGTTTGGGTTGAATTCAGCCTAGCCCAAGCCTAAAAGAAGGAAAAAGGCTAGCTCTGTCGCCAGCCTAGTGGGCCCGGCCTAATGGACCAAAGGCTTACCAGTGCTAAAAAGCCCCAAACCCCTAATTTAGCCATTTTTCTAGATAAATCAGCTCTGAAATTTTTACTACAAACCTTTTATTTTATTTCTAGTTTAGATTTAATATTTTGAATTTTAAGTCTCTTACATTTATTTATTTACTTAGTAAATGTTTAGCTTTTAGGCTTTAATTCAATAATTAGATTAGATAATTAATAGGTGGATAAATCATTGAGTCTCTTAATTTTTAAGGACCGATGATGATTTTTCATCAATAAAAAAATAATAAAGAGAAAATATTAAATAGATAAGAAAAAACAAAAAAGAAGGAAAAATGATAAAAAAAGAAAAGAAAATAAAAGAAAATGCTATGTGCAATAACTCATTTCGACCCTCATTTATTTTCATAAAATATTTTAAAAACTTAAAAGAGATAAATTTAAAAATTAAAAAAAGAAGAAGAAGAAATGTTACATAGTTTGTCTTTTCATGATTTTTAGGCATTTTTTAAATAATTTTTAGGATTTTAATTTCTTAAAATTATTTTCCATTTTTAATTTTTTAAAAAAGAAGAAAAGTGAAAAGAAATAAAAGAAAAGAATGAAAAGTATGAGAAGACGATTTCGCATTCAATCGAAAATGATGTGAAAAGCAAGGAGTAAGTGACATTCAATTATGAATGTAATTGGAAAGGAATAAAAATCAAAGAAATTGATTGAGAATTAATCGAGCAAAATTAAAAAAAATATATATATCAAGAGAATAGGGATTAAACAATTTTAATCAAGGAGCTAAATGAAAAAAAAAAAAAAAACATAATGGAACATACATTGAAATTAAGAAAAATAATCTAAAAGACCTAATTTGGTTTTATCCTCAAATCTTAATATTTTTTTTATATATAAATACCATTTCCCTTCATTTTCAAGGGAGCCTCCACAATCATTCCTCTACTCGAAAAACCCTAAAAAGAAAAATGTAGGGCAACAACTATCTACCCTACTAAAAAAAACAAGCTACCACCTTTAGGGGTGAGCATTCGGTTAAACGGTTCGATCTTGTACGATTTGGTTTGGTTTTTGGTTAACCGAATTAAAAAAATAAAAACCAAAACCGAACCGAAATAAATTCGGTAAATTTGGTTTGTAACCGAATTATTTCGGTTTGGTTTTGAAATATTTCGGTTTTAACCAAAATATGTTGCCGTAAAAAAAAAATCATTACGGAGAGATGTTTTGTACTAGCACTTAGTCCACTAGCCAATGAAGTAACATCTTGTTATCAATTAATCCTTTTTATAAACAATCACAAAGCCTTTGAAGATTTTAACTAAGCTTTAATGAAAACAAGTCCAAGTGTAATAAATTTGCTTATTCAAACACACCATATCCTAATTAATTACACTCGTCACTTTCTTTTCTTACCCCAACGGTCCTCAAAATTTACTTCCCATCCGCGTGTTTCGGTTTCAACAAGAATAAAGATTGAAAAGTTATGGATTTAGAAATTAGAAAATTTTTTACTTTTTATTTCGGTTTTCGGTCGAAATCGAAATTTTTTTTCTAAAAACCAAACCGAACCGAATCGAAATAATTTTGGTTTTTTCTGTTCGGTTTTATATTGTATAATTTTATATTTAAAATCGAACCAAATTTCATAATTCGGTTCGGTTTTATTCGGTTTTCGGTTAACCGAACCGTTTGCTCACCCCTAACCACCTTTTCCTTAATAAATAAATAAATAAAGCTCCCACCATTTTCATGATCTAGCTAAAACCCAAGACACAATTCCATCTTCAATCTTAGCCGCTTCCACTTCTCAAACACCCTTCCCAATCACCGAGCCTCATGAACCTCCCTCACCTTTGTAAGCTTAAGCTTTCTTAACGTAACCACCACCTCCTCCCACCTTGTCGATCTTTTTCAACATCTAAATCATAGCCGCAATCCTAGCAACTATCCTACTCCATACCTAAAACAACCTTACTCTCCGTCATAAACAAATGCATAAACACCTAGTGTGCATACCTCTTGAAAACTCACTCCTTCATCAATTTCCCCTACCATCCTCTTCACTTCCACTAGCTCGATCTCTATTAATGATCCATTAAAATCTATCTCTTCTTAATTTTCCACTATCAACACAAGTAGCCACCGCTTTCGAAACCACTAGAACCTACTACTACAACATCTCTCGCTGTTTTGCTCCTCTCTTCGATAATTTCCTCATAAAAAAAGCCCCTACTTCATCCTTCTCCAAAACCTCAAGACCACCTAAACCATCATCATCCCAACCCATCCTTAAGACCACCAATAAAAGACCTATCTACTCGTTACCATTCAAAACCCTATAAGCCAACCATAAAACATGACCTCACCCCACAAGCTCACCTACAACTCGCTCAACACCACTAGACCTTCCAAAAGAAGCCTCCTTCACTGCGACCCTCCTACTTCCTTTGGGAGTAACCTCTAAACTTATTAATCAAGACCCAACTACCAAAAAGTAATGAACAAACAAAACAAGAGATACTAAAGGTGGAAGTCATAGAGGATTTTTATCAAACACCTAATGGACATTTCACTAATACCAAAACCAAGCTCTTGCTAGTAATCACGAATCCAACCCCTCACTATCACAAATAAGAACAAGTTAATGATTTTGAGTTTTTATAGGAAAAATAATAAATTAAAGTGAATAAACCCAAACCAAAATACATGAGAAGCTAAAGCCACTAAAGAAGAAAAGAAGTCACATGGCTATATGACCTACAAGAGGAAAAAGCTACTACCCGTATGAAATAAAGAAGAAAACCATGTGGATGCTTAGCAATAAAGACAAATGGACAGTAGTAATCAGCATAGTTTAAGCAAGAAAAGGGACACACCCTTATGTGTTTCGAGGTTGACGTGTCTTCCAAGATGATGGAAAAGACACACGGATAAAAACTAAAGGACACAAGATGCAAAGTAAATTAGGCACAATCGTGTACCTCAATCTAGTATGCCATGTGCCACTAGTTTTTCAAGGCTCCACATCATGTGAAACAAAAAAGCAAGCTCGTGTGCCTTAGCTAAACAAGTTGTGTGGCCACATGAGGTCGTCATGTGTGTATTGTAATCCTACGTTTTGCTATAAATAGAAAAGCTATGGTTCATTTTAGGGATTCTCCATTCTTGCAACCACAATAGATAGAAATGCTCTTTTATAAGCAAACTATGTATCACTAAGAATCTTTCTTAGTTAAAGGAAAAGTTGAAGCTTTTGGTGTAACTTGTTTAAGATTTAAATGGGTTTTATTCTAATCCAACATTTTTTTTTATGTATTTTATGTTTTTCTTTGTTATTTAAATATAATTATATGGTTGATTAATTAGAGTGTATACTAGTTAATCATCATAATCTATTGCTAACTAAGTATTTAAACCTATAGTTGCTTATCTAAACTTGATTATGGTAGTAATTAGGAGTTAATAATTATAAATGGGTTTTCATTGAATCCATTAGAAAACATTAAATTAGATTAAATTCTTCTAGCATCTAGGAGGATTGTTTAGCTACATTTATTTTTTTTATCATTTAATGCTATTGTTAGATTAAATCTACCTAGCGTCTACTAGGTTGTTTAATAGTTAGAGATTGATGAAATAATGTCTATTTGGTTAACAAATCACTAAGAAAAGATTAGAGATAACTTATATATTGTTGTCTTATAGTAGATATTCATAATAAGAATGGATTAATGTATGAATCAATGATCAACGACCGAATCAAAAGTAGAGACCTACCTTCAACCAAGGCTTTTATTATTATCGTCATCTCTTTGTTTAATTGTGTTTACCTTTATTACTCTCACCAAGGCTTTTATTATTGTTGTCATCTCTTTGTTTAATTGTGTTTACCTTTATTACTCTCAACAAACCAAAACCCCTTTCCTTTCCTTTACTTTTGAACAATCGAAGAAAAAGAACATTGATTGAACCATCTCTTTATGGGTTCGACCCCGACTTGCCCTAACTATAATTTGTAATTAGATCCAATGAGAAAAAAATAAATATATAAATTTATTGGTGAAGCGACACATCGTCAAAGGGGAACAATGGTACCAAGAGGATAGATTATGAGATACATTAGATTGAGATCGAATCTTATTGATCCGGGAATTGAGGGAGTAATCCAGGATAAATAGCCCTATTTATGTTAGACAAGAGGCTTGGGATGCATAGCAAATGGATTTCGCAAGAGTTGATTGCGTGACTTATTCAAAGCAAGCATCATGGAACTAGTTGTTGAAGATCGATGATCTAGTATGAGTCTTTCTAGGCATAAAGGGAGCTCCATATCTATGGAAGAGCACATCCGTTGATTGGTAAATTGCACACTTTTTATTATTAATCACATGTTTCGGAAAATTTCAATTTTCCCCTCATATTGTTTGTAATGTATTTTTTTCAAGAGGCAAGATTAAACCATGAGCTAACAAGTTTTAAGTTCAAACGATCGACTACCGATGAATTGTTCTTTCATTGATCCGTGCTCCTAGAAAACAATGATAAGTGTTTTTTAATTTCAAATATTAAATATGAAAAGATAACATTAAATTTAATTTAATCCTATAATGATGATATTATTATTTTGATTACGTAGAAGCGTATGGAATAGCTTATCTAGAAAGCAATTGCGGTGCGACGAGAGTGAAGGAAAGAATCCTAGAGCTAGAAGTTGACAAAAATGCCATATACCTCGAGGCTATCGGAGAGAAGAAGAAAATGCTATTTGGTGTAGGCACACGAGTGGCGCATTATCTATCGTAGTCGGTGGTAGCAGATTTTGCTCTACGACATTGCATTACACCGTCAACCCTATTAACGACGAGCTTTGGAGGGACTACAAGGCTATCAAGGAAGCAATAAAAAGGATGTAGGTGAAAAAAGACGAGCTCCAAAACCTATTCATAGAGTAGCAAAGCACTATAAATAGTCTTAAATCTCGGTATGACACGATGACCTCCTTAGTGATGAGGTTGGCATAGACAACCAAGATGCCAATAGATCTCTCGACTAGTCGGGACTCTATCGTTCCTTCCACACGACCTCTCGTCCAGCCTCCCACTAAGCCCTCCACATAATATCGGGAGGAGGATAAGGGATTAGATGACTAGGATGAGTGATAACACATATATTTTGTGGCTTTGTTTGTTTTTATTGAACGTACTACTAAATCCTATTGTTAATATTAATTTATATTTAATCTATATGTTATTACTTGTAATTGTTAATTATTAAATATAATATTAATAATTTAAAAATAAAAAAATAGAATATAAAATATTTTTTGTCCATAAAAAAATAGTAATGGATCAGCAAAAAAATTCCTTGCTTATAACGATGGAATATCGATGGATAAGAACTACATTTAGCAACGAAATAACGACGTCTAAACTTAGCTTCGAATATTAGTGATGGAAAATCGATCGATATTCCGGGATGGAATTAGCAACTCGACTAGTGTCCTTAGCCACGACGAGTCTCACAACGAAAAAAACGACGAATTCTTGAATGATCGTGACGAAAATTCCATCGCAAATATAGCAATGAATGGATTTTTCCATTGCTAATTTTAGTGACAAACGATTTAGATGGAAAGATGTTCCGTCGCTACGCCACATTAGCGATAGATTTTAGCCAATTAGTGATGGAATAATCCGTCCCTAATTGTGTGTTTTTATGTAGAAATGAAGAAACAACACCAAAAAAGGGAAAATGATAAAAAAAAAAATCAATGATTAAAAAAAAAGAGAGAGGACAAAAGAAAATGCTAGTTAAAAATAAAAATAAAAAAGAGAAAAGGAAAATGGAAAGCAAAAAATATATATAGAAGATATCGGGTTGAAAATTGACAAAGTCTTCTATCCAATAGTGATTGATGTTAGCCTAAGTCGATCACATCTTAGTACTTAGATTGTTTTTCGAGATATCGATTATGTTGAGATTTAAACTAGATTCGATGTTAAATTAAAGAGATGCCCGACGGAGAGGTTCGATAATTGATTCAATGTGATGCCACAAATTAAAAAAAAAAATTATTTGGCTTAGGAAATAAAACTTGAAATTTTGACTAGAATCAATTTTGACAAAAATAAAAATTTTTAGGTGATTGATATCTTTCAAAAGGCATAATTAACTCCTTATCTTAGAATCTCTAAACTAGTGTCTATTTTACGTTTCTAGTTACCTCTAATGCTAGATAGCAACTTTAAAATTAATAATAACTCATATCTCCAAATAAAAAAAAATTTTAATAAATAAATAATAATAAACTTTTCGAGAGTCTTGCGAACTTCAGTAGTGACAATTTGTAACAATTATTATTACCAACATATTATTAGGTTAAATTACAAGAGAACAACAATCCCTGATCTCTCCCTTGTTTTTTCTCGGGTAAATCGACATGGCCATTTTTCTGTCGCTACTTGTATACAAATTCCCTTCCTCTCCCCTTTTTTTTACTCACAACTGTGTCTGCAATGATCATTTATTTTGGACAATGCTTGTGCTTCTTTTTATTGAAACAAATTAATGAAAAAAGCAATAAGTAAAATGGAGAGAAGTGTTTTGCCAATTTAATTTCTACACAAGCTGGTAACAAACCCTAACAAAATACCATGAACAGAGATTTTGGATTAAAATACAACAAATTAATTAAGAGATGCCTCATGTCAGCTAAATGTTTCCATCATATAAAGTTAATTATATTATCAAAACTTGAGAGTTTGATTAGTCATCCCCATGGGCCATCACACAAGATCTTAGTTTCTTCTATTTTCTTTAATTGAAATTTAGATGAGGAGTTGTTGAATCTAGACCATATTATTTTTTAATTGAAAATAATTAACAATAATTCATCGATTCTAGTTTTTTTTTTTTTAATTGAATTTCAAAGATAAGTGTTTCAATTGAAAAGAAAAAGAAGACGAGGCAAAGAAAGAAAGCTACCATATATAGACAGAGAAAGAGGTGTTTATAGGAATAAAATATTTTTATTTTTAATTTATTTTTATTTTGTTGTTAGATAATAATAAATTATCAATATTATAATATCAGTTTGAAAGCTGACATGTATGTTGCATGACAGAAAAGAAATCTTTTCTTTTGATAAATAAAATTAAAAGTATCCTATCAAAAGTTTTATTCCTATGTCAATTAAATGTTTCCATCATATACAGTTAATTATACCATCAAAACTTGAGAGTTTGATTAGCCATCACCATGGGCAATCACACAAGATCTTAGTTTCTTCTATTTTCTTTAATTGAAATTTAGGTGAGGACTTGTTGACTCTAGACTATATTATTTTTTAATTGAAAATAATTAACAATAATTCATCGATTCTAGTTTTTTTTTTTTTAATTGAATTCAAAGGTCAGTTTTTCAATTGAAAAGAAAAAGAAGACGAGGCAAAGAAAGAAAGCTACCGTATATGGACAGAGAAAGAGATGTTTATACGAATAAAATATTTTTAATTTTAATTTCTTTTTATTTTGTTGTTAGATAATAATAAATTATTAATATTATAATAT